TCTTAATAGTTTTTGACATTTAAAAAATACATATTAATTGAGTACAGAGCATCTGTATATAGTGTGAGTAAAGTATTGTTTATATCTATGAGTGCATTTAAGGAGATGCTTATTAATAGTAGTACAGATATGTATGCCATAAATGAATTCTGTGACATTCTAAGAATTTGTGAGAAATGCTTATGTATAGCAAAACTGTTAGTAATTTCAATATAACATTATTATCCAGCAATTTCTAATTCTACTTTTTTAAATTATATTATTAATTTTGTTTACTGCTTAAAGATCACTCACTCTCCCACCACGAATCTCCTTCACATACGAGTTCTCTAATATATCCTCTATTATATTCAACTAGTTTGCCATGTCCACTCAAACGACACGGACCTCCAATATCATTTTAAGCAAACTGACTCGTTACACCGAATTTAGTTTTGGTTCTTAGTTTTTTTAAAATAAGAAAGTTTACACGAAAACACAACATGACGGTACTGCTATGCATTGAGGTAAGAATATTTTTAGTAATTTTAATAAATAACAAGTAATATAAAGATAAAAGTAGACATTGGTTCATGCTGGTTTTAGAATAATTGCAATCAACCACAATTCAAGTCTTAAAAAGGACATCGTGTATGTTTAATGTAAAACATGATTTCCTTCCTGATGATCTTAAGATTGGTGTTATTAGAAGAGGCATGACTTTCAAGATGTGATGTCCTTCTAAACAATTTTTAAATGTAACGAATATAAGAAGATTGTAATATCCGAATTAGTTTTATAAGTAACGATTGTTTTATTAATATGTTCCGAATTTTATAATAACTAACTACTGAAGATGACCACAACCAGATGGTCGAAACGTCTAGATTGACCTAAACATTTGTTATAATATATCAATAAATTAAGCACGAAAATCCAGCTTGGGCTCTGTAGCTTGTTGTTAATAATTTATTTGAATAATTTGAGCCAATATTATAGTTTTAATTTATTTTAAAAAATTGTAATTTATTTTTCGTAATCATAATCATAATAATCATAATTTTTTTTTATAGTTTTTTAACAAAAGAAAAAAGAATCGTGAAGAGTCGGAAACCGCAGACGGAGCCAAAGTTTTCAATTTAAAATTTGGTTAATCGAATATGAATTAGATTGGCTCGAAGCAGCAAGTACCCAGATAACAAATCGTGCGGCTTACGTTACCCGCACGGCGTGAGTATCACACCGTGCCCGCGCAGTGCTATCACGCTGCCCTCATGACGTGATGGGGGCATGCATGAGGGCGCAATGAATCATATTATGCAGTCACGCTATTGTTGTGCCCTTGGTAATAGGGCACGGTTCGGGATCTGCCAAGGAGTTAGGCCGGGAATCCGGGAATAATCCTTTGACGTTTTTTTAATAAAAAACAGTCTTCCACATATTTATTGATCTCTTGATTCATTACAAATTCCCTTACTTCTATGTAATCTAGGTTCCGTCAGGAATCCTTGCCTTAGTGTAGTATCACGGAGCCCCAAGTTACTCTTATTCACTTTTAACGAATTGTTATAATTCGCGTTCTTCTAGATTTGTGGTCCCAACGGACATACGTCCGTTTCTTGTGACTGATAGTTTTAGACCCGCCGTCGTGATCTCGCGACGGCGATTTTATATACGTGAAACTGCACTTGATTGCAGTTTTAACGATCTAACTTGCTGACGAAATTCGATCGTTCGTCAGCATTGTTGCGTAAAAAGTGAATTAGGTTTTAATT